GTACACCAGAAATTGACACAATATGGTAAACTTACTATGCCTAAAAAAAATTATTTTTATAAAGTGATCATCTCAATAGATGCAGAAAAAGCACTGACAAGATACCCCTTTCTTTCCGTCTCTCTTTCCACAGGAATGAGCCCACGATGACAATCTAAAGGCTCTCCCTGCCTTCTCCTGCTCCCTTCTCCCCAAAATCTCCTCCACATCGAATCCTACTTTAGCATCTGCTTCTTAGAAAACCTAACACATTATTCTAAGGCATTGCTGGGTACTACCATATTTATATGAACAGTTTATGCATTCAGAATATTGGCCTATTGAATGACAATATTAACCCTAATGACCTATACCTTTGGGGTATGGGAGTATTTAATTTTGCACATAATGAAAATGTGGCTTTGAAAGAATACTAACATTGTCCCATTGGGATATAATATTATTTTTAACATAACAAAACAGGTGTGACTAGGACTTTTCTGTCGTTCCTTCCCTTTATACAGGATAGCACAGAATACTGGTTAAAAGCATCAGCTCCCAGACTACTCGAAATTAAATCACAGCTAACTCACTCACTGCTTCGGCCTTTAGCAAATCAGTTAAGCTCTCCAAACTTCTGTTTCTGATCTATAAAGCAGTAGACTGCTTCCTCACCTGTAAAACAGGAATTTTAAAAATAGTACCCATCACGTAGAATTGTTTTATGAATTCATTAATGAATCAATTTCAGGTGCTGCATCCAATGAAAGAACTACGATAATGAATTTAAAAGCACTTTACAAACCAGAAAGCACTTTATTTTCTCTAAATGAGATTTTTTTTTCTCTAAATGAAATAAGCATCAGCCATTGTCTTTTATGGGAAATCGAGGTTAATTCGCATTACCAAAAGAAAGCCAAGAACGTGTTTATGTCTGTGTTTCCGATTTATTAACAGCACATGATACTAGAAAATAAAACCCTTGACGTTCCTGCAAGTAGAGCTATTTTGGTTATAAATACTTTTCCTTTTCAAAACTTTCAATTGTTCTCCAGAATATGCCGGAAAAGCTGCTACATTAGTAACGAATCCTCTTTTAATATCCTTTCGTCTCTTTTTAACAGAGCGGGGCTGGGGAGGCGGCACCGAAGAGCACGGAATCCCCGATGGGCAGGCAGTGTTCCCAACATGTTTCTGGAACAGCAGCCCAAATTTCAAAACCCAGAACCACAGAA